GGGGGGCGAAATAAAGAGAACAAAGATAAATGTCTAGTGAATGGATTGTTGGTGTTTTTAAATGTGAAAACCCAAATGAGCCACACATGAAAGTATCTGTGGGTGCAAGGAAGCTAGAGGCACATTAGACCAGGCTAGACTGAGAGCTGCTCATTTGCAGCAGCAGTCACCGAGGCAACATGGTTCAAAGCGCGGGAACAAGAAACGGTAACAATTTAAGAAGTTAAAACACCTAAAGTGCCGGACTTAAGTTCTTTGTGTTGAGAGACGAACACCTCCATCCATTTGTAGTAACCTACCAATACTACTAAAAACACAGTTTAATCAAATACAGGAAAAGGTGATTGAACATCATTACAATTTAGAATCTGCAAATTTATATTTTCAGAATTTTCATCAGCTAAGTGCTTTCTTCATTTAGGCCTTAAATTTTTTTGTTTGATCTTGAGCATTCAAACTATGAAAAATAGGCACTCATTAATTTTGTATTAATTCATCTATTAAACATGAGTTCCTTAGTCTATCACCACAGTCTTCATTCAATTTGATTGTGCTCTGAAAATTTTAGCATTTTCATGTCAATAGCCTAAGCCGCCGGGTGTGCACAACGTTGTTTTGTCAGCCTGCTTGGAGACAAACCCCACTTACTCATGTCCTGGTACACGGAGGTCGCCTCTTTTGTGAGGAACAAAGGTGGTTTCCGTGGTGACATAATCTCAATTTTCATAAGTTCTTCACAACAATGCTTCCATTGGGCTAAGAAAGAAAGAAAAAAGCAGACGAGTTTAAAACATAAATGTGAAGTCATATATTTCATTTTCCACAGATACCAACCCTTTTTTTTTTTTTTTTTTTTTTTTGGCTTTCTTTGAAAACTAACAGTTTGTAAATAAAGCCTGGGCATCAGGAAGCTCACATACTCTAGAGCAACCCATGATTTCCAAAGCCCATTCTGTACAGAGTGAGCTCTTTAAGAAATAAAGTTCTGGGCACAGATCTTAAGATGCCTGGGCTGCTTGTGAGTACACTATTGTAGGGAATGACCAACAACTGCATTCAACTTCTATCCACGGCCGAAGTGGGTGCGGGCTCGTCTCTTCTCAGTATTAAATGAAAGTGTCCAGTGTTCAAGACACCCAAAAGACAAAAGTCGGCTGAGATGCAGTTCCCCCTGGAGGGATGCAGGAAAGCACTAAGGACTGAGCATTCTCAAAGACATCTTTAATTTGAAAATTTTAAATTAAGAAATGACAATTACTTAACTATCTTTTCAACTACCAAGTTAGAATTTGAAAGTGGACATTATCAACATTTTGTCTAAATGCATTGTCACTACTTAAACCTTAAATTTTCAGACCTACTTCTCCTCGGTGGATATTTAAAAAGATTGGTATTTTCTAACTTGTGTTCCTGCATGCCCCATGTCTGTTTAGTAATATTATAAAAGCAAGTTACTGCGGCTCACGAGTGTTCTATCTGATACCAGTAGAAAGGAAACTATAATTAGTATACGTACATGCCTCCCAAGATTAATTTATCTCTTTTCCTTTTTTGAATATTCTCAAGATATATATGTATATATGTATATATTCAATCTAACAACTTGGTAGTTTGTCATGTCTTAAAGTTTAAAGATATCTCATGTTTACTTCATCACATAATCATTTTGCTGTTTTTAGCTGAATATACTGTCATAACAAAATGGTAAAAAAAAAAAAAAAGCCTACATTTAAATCCATTACTATAACTAGTTAAGAAACAAAAAGCCCTCAGCATGTTTTATTATGATGCTCATTATGGAATACAGTAAAAATTTCTAAATGCTCACTACATAGCAAGCCAATTCGAATCAGTGCTGGTTAGAAGGCAGTGAAGGCTCCTCTCCAGGACATAAACCCAGTGCACCCCGGAGCTGGGTTTATTCCTGTCTAGTCTCTTTGTTAGGTGAGTATGTAGAAGCTAGTTTTTTCCTTCTTAATGGCAGAGGTGGAAAAAAACATCTCTTAACTTAATGGAAAATAATGGCTCATTTTAAACTAACAAACGTTCCTATTTGATTCCTGGATGCTCCGTACTGTTTTCTGGACGCTGATGTGTAAGATAAAAATAAAGACCAAAAAGAATACACACACACACACACACACACACACACACACACACACACATGTGTGTGTGTGTGTGTATATATATTGCATTGTAACTGGTAACAGAATACTAATCAGGCTGAAGACTGGAACATAATCCCAGATAATTCCACATGTCACTGACGTCAGAAGTACAAATGTGTTTGTTCACCAATCAAGATTTTACACCTGAAACACTTATTTTCTAGTGAGCAAGTTCGCGTACAGGAATATACAAAACAGTCCTTGTGCCAACATGGAATCAGCGGCCAAGAGACACACTCTGTCCACACAAAATGTCTATGTTGAAGATGTTTCCACAACACTATGTTATTTTGCTCTGTGTGTGTGTGTGTGTGTGTGCGTGCGTGTGTGCGCGCACACTCTGGCTCAGTGGGTAAAAGCACTTGGCCTGAAGCTTGAAGATGGGAATTCAGTTCTTCAGTTCGATCCCAGGGGCCACATGGAGGAAGGAGAGAACTGACTCTGCAAGGCGCTCTCTGACCTCCACATGCTCCATTACACACGCACGAAAATCAGTAAAAATGACTGCGTTAGGATATTACACTGCAATTCCAATATTTCAGGTAGTATGCACACACTCATCTTTGCTTCATGTGTCCATGCAAAATAAATTTCCAAGTATAAGTGTAAGAGAATCTGTACTTTACTAAAGGCATTAGCTACGGAAGTACCCAGGGCCAGAAGTGCGGTCCCACGGCCGCCTTGTTTCTTGTTGAGGGCAGCGCCGCCCTCCGTGAGAAATGACTTCACAGTCCCAAAGTGAGGCTATCCACAAATCTGTTGACACCTGAGCTACAATACTTTGGAATTATTACCTTCAAATGCCCCTCTTCTCTATTTTTATGCCCATATAAAACATAAAATATCAGAATCACTTCTAAAAACAATGTGCCTTTTTAAGTCAGACTCTCCACAACAGAGAGTTTAGGAAAGCACTTAATAGTTTAGTTACGGTCAGCAAAAGGGAGCTGTTGACCAGATGTAGCAGTCTGTTTGTAATCCTAGGACTAGGAAGGCAGAGGCAGGAGGACTATAAGTTCAAGGCTAGCCTGGGCTACCTGTACACACACACACACACACACACACACACACACACACACAAACAAAAAACCCCCCACAAAACAAAAACCTAAGCATGGTGGTGTGTGTCCACCACCCCAGCACTCAGGAGACAAGATCCTAAGTTTGCGGCACCTGAACGGAGCAAGACCCAGTCTCAAAAACAAAACACCAGAAGGGAAGTTGCTAGTGAGGTCACTCACCTAAGATCTGCTGGAAGTTAAACTGAGAAACTGAAGACAAGCTCATGAACACGGAGGAACAGCGCATTTACCAGTGCCGGAGTGGTGTGTAAGGAAAGCAGGTCTACAAGACCAAAGAATGCCTTCTTTAAGGACTCCTCTACACCATGAGCCAAGCCTTTCTGGGCTTTACATTTCTTAGTTTGGGAGCAAAGCCAACTCTTAGCTCATGGGGATGTCATGAGAAACGAGGCCATGGAACACAGGGCCATCAGCACAGGCACCACCCATTCTTCCTCCTTCTCAACCTCCACCCCGACACCTGATGAAGTATGATCAGGCCTGGGAACTGCTTGAGGACTGCGGGTGCCAACTCCCTGGAGTACCAGGGCCTGTCTTGAGCATTACTCCTATGAGCTCTAGAAATAACTCCATTGTTTGGAAAGGAGTCTACCTTGTGAATCCATAGAGTAGCATCATGTGGGTGTGAAATGCCAGCTGGCTCTAACAGGAGACTTAGCTAGATCAAGAGCAGCCACTGTCAAGTCTCTATTTCCAGTATAAAATCTTAGATAACACATAGGCTTCTAGATGTAGTGCGAAGAAAGGAAAATAATCTTTACCTGTTAGCAAAGCACCTTAAACTGAGAATTATACAGGTTCTCATGACACATGCTGTTGGACTGTATTATTTGGAAGGAAAAAACATTCATGTGGCTAAAAACTGGACGATGTCCAAGGTGATATAATAACAGATCTGCAGTTACCAGGAGCTTACACATAAATGAAGCTCTTGAAGACTTCAGTCTCCCAGGACCATTGGGATCTGGAAGAGTCTGTGGCACACCTACCACATTTTTCAAGAGGATAAAACATTTTTGCTGCAAATTTTGTCATTTTAATAGTAGACTGCTGAGTGCAACCTTTTAAGCTGCATGAATACATTACTAGAAAATCCAAATATCTACTTACTAAGGTCAAAGAAATGCTGCCCGAAGGATTCCATCCACTTCTGAAGGTCCCCGCTACTGTCTGCCGCGAAGACATGAGTCGCCGCCTGGCCAGCAATGGTGTTGATGACAGAGAAATGATGAGCTTTCTTCAAATCCTTCTCCATCACCCGAATCCTGGTTTCCTAAGTACAAAGATGAAAACTGGCATTTTAAAAGAGAATATTCCTAAAATGATCAAACATTGTAATGCACCGCTGCCTACGCAAAGTGCAACGACCATCTTACTGCTGACGATTTGAAATTTAAGATGTGTCATTTGGAGGATTTTCAGCATTCAAATCTACAGCCATCTAGGCTCTCTACAAAGAATGTTTTGTTTTAAAAACTGAGTTTCAAATTTGCTATATATGTACTAAATTACATGTGATTAAAACATAGCCTGTGTTATGATCTATCTCAGTTTAAGTAGCACTTCCCCGCCTTTTATATGCATCTTAAAATTTGTAATAAAACAAGTACAGTCTGCCATAACTTTCATGTGGATTATACATTAACTATATTTCCAAGAGTAATAAAATAGAACCAGTCAAGTATGTTTCTTTCTCATTCTAATTTTCATAAATATTATAGTGTTATCAGTTAAAGTAGTAAAACCATAACAGTTCTCGCTACAGCAAAACAGGTTTTCCTCATTAACATTTATTTCGGAGGCTACATTCATTTACAAAGCTCATAGCTAAAGATCCATGTGGCAACATACACATTATTATAATGTTTGAGGTATTTTTCAATGCTGAATACAACACCCTACCACAAAGGCACACCTTTGATGCCAATGATGGATGACAACAGTGGTCAGGAAGGAAAGCTACTCTCCATACAGCCGAACTCCATACGCAATTCACAAGGAACCCTTTCCTGAAGGGTTTCTAGGATTGGCTTCAAAGTAACAGACAAAAGGACATGGAACAGTTCAGAGGAGCTCAATTATCCTATTCTGTATTGATTATCTTGAAAATTTAAATAACACATAAATGTTAAAAACAAGTCTATTAGTGCCTGGGCCTGTGATGCAGGCGACATTTGACCCTTCCTTATAGACGTGGCACAAAGACAGGAAGAGTCTTTCAAAGTCTTGGTGTACAACCCGTAGACCAGGGATGAAAACTGGTGCTTAAAGCCAGCACAGCGTTTACACGTTTAGTGACAGAACAAGCAGATGTTCACAGGAAACAGATGGAACGTCTGAACCATGTGAGGCACAGCCATCCGTCAAGCCAGGCGTCAGGCACGGCCAGTACCAGTTTGAAAGCTACTTTTGGTTTATGTCAATAAAGTTAGACGTCAATTCCTCAAGACAAAAGCTTTCTTAGAAAGTCATTTTTTGCTGTTATTTAATGAAAGTCAACCTAAGCAGTGAACAGGGTTCAGATATCACTCACAATAATGGGAAAAGTGCCATGTGACTTGTAGTAACTGCTTTCTAACATCCAGGATAAACAGATAGTTAAAAGTAATTTCAAGACAATTTTATAAAGGCCCAGCAGACCAAGTAGTGTTATTGATTTGTTCCATTCAGCTATGTTATTAAAATGAACGAGGGGGCAGTATTTAAATCAAGAACAGATTCTAGCCCACACTTCTCTGCCCCCTACCCCACTGGTGATGGATAAAGTTTTAGTTAATAAGTGCTTTCTACGAGCAGAGAGGACTCAGTTAAAGCACTGGTTCGTTATTGAGAACGTCTTGCTCAAGCACATTCACACAGGTTTTCTGAAGTTAAAGCAATCACTTTGAAGTAAATCAGCCTTTCAAATTTGGATCGAAAGGGGGCGGGGAATAGCTTTTAGGCTTTTCTTCCCTAATGTGACTATTTCCACAGACGGCTCCCTATGGAAGTTAATGAACAGGAAACTCACTCACAAAGACAGAGTTATAGTTAGAGAGCAGACCTGTGGCCCAAACAGGGAGCTGTAACTTAAACCCGGGGAACCCCAAAATGCATGTTTTCACACCACTTTTAAAGCAGCGTTAAACAAAACTATTATTTGCACGTTCTCTCTCTCTCTCTCTCTCTCTCTCTCACACACACACACACACACACACACACAGATAACCAAAAGAAGAGCTTGGATTTGTATTTGATGTTTAACATTATTAAGCCTAAAACATTTTAGATCCAGCATTGGATACACTAGAAACTAAAACAAAAGTGCTCTTCTCAAGTTTTATTTACCTGCTATACCAGAAAGGATCTTTTGTTTAAGAACATATTAATAGCATGTGTCTTCTAAACTGCCCCCCAAAGCATAACAAAACATCTGCCGTGACTCTTAAAACAAAGTAAACAAGTAGATACAAATGACAGTAGGATGGAGGGAGAGCAGGGGCCATCCTGACTGCAGTGGGGTCCCAAGGCCAGCCTGGTACCAGCATGCAACACGCACTGCTCGCTCAGCAAAAGTGCTGAGGCATTAAGCACTCTCTGTCCTTTGCAGGAGGGACTGTAATTCATCCCTAGTTGATAAGAAAATGTCTTTCTTTATATAAGCACGCCAGCTAATATAAAGAGGAAGGGGGACGGACGGGAAAGTCGTGTGGGATCTGCATTGCTCTAAGGAGGCTGGGTGAAGGAAATTAAGCTGTCGAAACCACATGAAAAATTCCTAAGATGGCAAAGACATCTACGGTGCCAAGACGCCACCTCACTGAGAGCTGGTGGAAAGAGGGTACCTGTGCTGGACAGGAGCACCCACGCCAGGGAAACAGAGCATCATCTGGAAAAGTGCAGTACAAAACAGATAAACAAACAAGAAAACCCCAGCATTTAAATACAACACAATTGTGGCTTCAGACCTCATCAGACAGAAACCCACACAGTCCTAGACTGAAGACACAAGCTAAGAGGACATCTTGGGGACACTAAGGAAATTTAGACATGGACCTGAAACTGAACGCCACAAGGATGTTCCGCTATGGCTCTCACTTTGTGGTTGCTGCAAACCGCTATAATTATGGAAGCATTAAAAACAGTCGTTAGGAGTTGCATATTCCTAGGGGTGAAGTGTCAGTCTTACAGCTAAATGGATCAGCCAAAACCACAATATAAATGAGGAGATAAAGCAGATGGCGCGGTGCTAAGTCTAGGTGCTGGGCACGTCGGTGATCCCCGCAGCATTTCCCCCAATTTCTCTGTACATTTGAGTCTTTTCTAAAGTGAGAAAAATAAAAAGAAAATTACTTAGCTTAGATAAATAACAGCATAACTCTCATATTTAGGAAGTAGCAGACCTGCTTCCGGGCTGGATCTGACAAAGTTGGATTTGGACACCAGTGACATCATGGAGCAGGAAGCTTTCAGGTGAGAGGAGGGCTCAAAGGAGGGGAGGCAGGAGAGAAGGACAGGAGGCAGCCGAACTAAGCAAGCACATCACAGAGCTGGCTTCCACCCTTCAAGCTCACCACACATGTAACCTCCGCACTTTAGACTGAAGTCATGGACAACGGGAAGACACAGGTCACTGATCTTCAGGGTCAATGTGATTGATCCATGTCTCTCCCAGGCCTAAGGCCACATCTATACAGATTGCTGCGTAAGTAACTTCCAGGTGAACAGGCAACGGCAGCTATGGAAAAGCACAGGCATTTCCATGCAGGAGGATTGGTTATCTCACGTAGAACTACAGAACTGGGAGCCACCAGGGCCATCTGCCTCTATCAGCACCATCAACTTGGAAGAGGGCACTGCCCGGGGCGGGGGGGGGGGGCACAGAAACACTGCTGCCGTTCTTTCCACCCTTAGACATAAATGCAAAGGCACTGGCTACGGTAAGAGTCCCATAAATACTCTCTTAAATTCAAACAGGAAGATCAGCACAGGCCTGGACTCTTGGTTCAGAGCCGAGCCGCCTTTTACTTGAAACCTCATTCAGAATGGGTATGGGAGACAGAGAAAAGTCTATCTCTGCCTTCCATACCTAACTGAGCAGTGGGTGCGTCTGTGAAGGAGCACAAGCAGCTCACTGATTCCATCCCCCACCCCCACTAGGAAGAGAGTGAGTCATCCAGCGCTCCTCACTGCTTTGGCAAGTTCTACCTAGTCTCACGTCTATTTCTCCTCTTGTAAAACAGAAATAACACATCTGTAAGGCAGGGATGCCAGACCTACTCCGCCTACCTTAAAGGGCTGGGGTAAGGTGAGCTGAAAACCTGCAAACCTTCCTTCAAATAAAGCAAACGACTTCTGAAAATGTCCTCGGTGGGGCTGGAGAGAAGGCTCAGCACTGAAGCCTGCTCACCACTCATCAAGAGGATCAGAGTTTGGATCCTAACACTCACGTAACAAGCCTGGTGTCCTGTAAATGCCTGTAACTCCAGCTCCAAGGGATCAGACCTCTTCCAGCCACACAGGAATGCACACTCACACACACATGTAGAGACTCATGCAGACACACATATACATACACATAAAATAAACCTTAAAAAATCGCGTTTGCTTAGATTGTTACATTTTAATTTGGTTTATGACTGACTATTCACAGTCTAGAATCCAGGTGTCAAGACAAAATGGGTGGGATTCCATTTTTAGTACCCAGCGAGCTAATGGAAATCAACATGAGACATGGAATCACGTGCAGTAGAACTCTTGCCAAAAATATTGAAGCGGAATCAAATGAAACGATTAGTCATATACATCATCCCCTGCCCCACCCCCAAAATAACTGGCCTGAACTTAAAACGTGTCAAAGGTATAAACAAACACAGACAGGAGGTCGGTCAGCCTTAGATAATGGGAAAGGCCTCAGTGCTTGGGGGTCCTGAACCAAAAAAGACATGAAAATTAGAAGTGGGTGCGACTAGACAATCTGCTCTATGGACAGTAATATTATTTCAACAACAAATTTCTTGTGATAATACAAACAAAAAATAACCTTGGTTTTAGAAGAAGCATGCTGTTTCCAACTGATTATCAAGTGAGTTGGGGGAAAAAATTAAGTAGGTGAAAGCACGGGGCAGCTGGGCGTCCACATTCCGTTTGGTGACGGACACAGAAATGGTGGTTTCAACCTTTTTTTATGTTTGAAATGTTCAAGACACACAAAATGAAAGAGAACAATGTGAACAGAACAAAAACCAAAATGGGTGACATACAAGCTCTTCATCAGTAAAACTGTAACGTCTACAAGCCTGACCTTCTAAACCAAGATACAGTCATTATAATACAGAGGTATTATTTATATTACTAAGGAACAACACTAAGCTGTCTAATACACAAGGCAGCTAGGTGGACTTAACTATAGGATAAAAAGTCTCATTAAAGAATTTCCTTTGGGTAAAAAGCAGAATATTTTCTAAAAACAAGATAGACAAAAATGTTACTAGAAAAAAATAATGGGGGAGGGTGGAGTGGAGAGATGGCTCAGCAGTGAAGACCAGACCTGGCTCCACAGAGCACCTGAATCTGTGCCCAACAGCCTCCTCAGGTGGCTCACAACTGCCTCTAACTCTAACTCCAGGGGATCTGATACCCTCTTCTGTCCTCCTCAAGCAACTTCACACACACACACACACACACACACACACACACACACAAAGCCTTTAAAAAAAAGCAGTGTTAGTCCATAGACAGAAAACATGCATTTTGCTCTAAAACCATATGAAAGCATTCCAGAGGAGGAATACTATAAAGAACTTACAACTAGACATCAACAATGCTTGGCGTCAGTTCAGGGTAAACCCTCCAGGGGAGTCCCAGAGCCCACTGGAGTATTAGCTAGAAAGAGTACCTGTACAACTTGGGCTGACAACCTGTGCTTATATCATCAATTAAATTCATGAAAAACATAAATTTTTTAAAAAGGTTTTTAAAATTTATTTTTGTGTCTGTACGCACAGGTTTCCTTGGTGGCCAGAAGAAGGCAGCAGACGCCCTGGAGCTGGGATTACAGGCAGCTGTGAGCTGCCCAGTGTAGGTGCAGGGAACTGAACTTGAGAAGGAAGCACTCTTAACCACTGAGCCATCTCTCCAGCCCCAATAAATATCCCACTAGTGTGGGGATTGCACTGTGGCTTCTGCTTGCACGCACTGCCGTTACTATGCATTCTGGGGGCTAACCCAATATTCCCATAAGCACTCCAGCACAGAGAAAAGAGAACAGATTCAATTAACAGCCCATTTCCACAGCCTTTTCCTTTTATGGCTATAACAGTGTCAAGAACACGCAGGGAAACGAGTCATACAAGACTGTATCTTTAGTTTGAAAGTAACACCTCAAAGGGCTGCGGACATAGCTCAGTGATGCTCTGCCAGCCTAGAGTGGCACGTCGCGTACCTTGCGGATGGGCACCACCAACGTCGGCTTCACTTTAGCTCCAATTTCCTCTGGACCATAGAAACACTGGAGTTTACTGCCTCTCAGAACACAGTACAGCCGCCGCCAGCCAATCAGACCCTCTATGGTTTGCTGGGAAGAAAAAAAAAAGTCAAGAAACTATCGATTTAAATCACTCCCACCTTAACTCTAAACTCAACTCAGTATTTACATAACCAGAGTTAATTTTTCAGAACTTTAAAATGTGGAAGAATCGCCCATTCATCTGTTATACAGTGAGTCCGACATCTCCAAATGCAAGAGTAGGTTCACGTCAGAAGGCTCGAATTCTCAAAAGCACTGAGCGAAATGAGGGTAATTATTACCACACAACTTTTACACACACAAAATCATAAATCAATGCAGTTTTAGAAAAGCTTGTCTATTAAAAATTAGTGCTTAAAATTCCACAGCAATTCATCAAATGACTCAGGAAAATTATAAAAATAACTCTCCATGTTGAAAATATAATTTCCCCTACTGCTCTCAGAACATTAGAAAATGCTGACTACCTGGTAAGAATGCAAATTTTCTTTCCTCCTAATGGAATCTTTTAGAAAAAGCTATTGATTCATTGAAGTTCACAATTAATTATTTACTGAATATAAATAACTATGGCTATAAATAAATCAGGAGTAGGTGGCACAGAGGCAGTTTGGAAGCACAGATGCCAAAACTGTGCCAGACACAGCCCAGAAAGCCTTTATGTGAAAGGTGCTGGGCAGCTGGAGCCAGTCTCCAGAGGGGAACTGCTGCCATGATCCTGCCCCTGGGCCTGTGGGATGGGGCCCTGGGAGGCTAGAGAGGCCACCCCCCAGCCCCCAGACTGAGCCAGATGGCCCCTGGCTGCCTCTCTCACTCACAGCTCCCATAGCTCATGTCCAACAAGATTCTGAAAACTAATTTGCCCAAAAAGACCACTCAAGCAAAGGCCTGTGGATTACGACTTCGATGAAGCTCCAGCACGAAGGATGTTTGAATTCCTCTACCTGCTCATTAAGGAATCCTGCGAAGACATCCTCAGCCATACAGGCCGGCTGGGCCACTAGCCGGCAACACATGTTGCCGTACAAGGGAAGCCAAAAGGAAGATTCTTCTGTTTAAAGGAGAAAGGGAGGGAAGAAACAAGTTACAAATATACGCCTAAGGTTGTAACTACAGTCAACGTGTATGTGTGTGTGCGTGCGCATGTAAGTATACTCGACATATGTGTGCATGCACATACACACACTCACACATACATATAATTGTTACATGTTCTAGTATTTTTCTTTTTCTTTTTTTTTTTTCGCTTTATGAAAGAACAAATTTTAAAATTAACTTTATATAGAGGCTTGCCTCCTGGAACCAGTGACACTCAGGACCCATGAGCAGCTGAGGAGCAGAGGGGGACCTGAGCGACAGGGCACAACGTGCGGCAACCCAGAAGGGCAGTGGCCCTTAGTCTCTTGACTTTAAAAGTAATTATTCAAGGGAGACTGTCATTTGACATCAAGTAGACTAATAGAGTGATTTATGTTCGACAAATTTCACTTTTTGTTCAGATTTTCAATGTAATAATTAGCAAGGTGTTTCTCTAAATGAAGCATTATTTCAACCAAGTTATGACACTTTACCTGTTTCAGCCTGCCTTCCCTCCCACACCCAACAACTAAGTTATAACCTTGTGGAGCACCTGTTTCTAGGTGCTGTACTGGGTGTGGCACCAGTCAGGATGAGGAGGGAGAGAGGGGGAAGGAAAGGAGGATGGAGACGGGGAGGAAGGGAAAGGAAGAGGAGAGAGGGAGGGAGGGGGGAAGAGAGGAGGAGGAAGAGGGGACGGGCCACCCACACAAGGCACCCGAGCTTCCACATCAATGCACAGCCTAGATGGGGTCTGTGGAGGCCAGGACCAGCAGAATGAGGAGGAGGATGTGGAAGGAGCCACAGGCAGGGCATCAGAGCCATGAAGGAAGGCCTAAGGTATGGAGTTGGATGAGTGACCAAGGTTGCTGGGCAGCCCAGCCATGGGAGTCAGGCACTGGGAGGAGTCATGGCACAGCAGGTGGCGCACCAGGTGAGTGATGGCTGAGAGAGAACAGAAGCCTGGGTTCCTGAGAGATAGAGAGGGGAAAATGCAGGAAAGGTGGGGTGCGCCAGGGGGCAGGTGGGTGCTCAGAGACACCCAAAAGACTTGGAAGCCATTTAGAACAGCTCCCGTAGGCCACACTGGGTCAACTCCAACTCCCAAGTAAACAACGACATTGGCACGGCATGAAACAGGAAAACAGCAGCCGGTAGACTGCAAGGCTAATGAGAAATGTACACTTATATGTCCCAAAGTCACCTATTCCAACCACAAAATGCATATTAATTACAAAGTGGGAAACGAAAGAGAAACTTAACTAACCTCAGAGCCAGGACAGCCTCAGTCTCATGACCAGTCTCCTTCCATGCCTCAAGGCCACCTCTCAGCCCTTGTACAATACTACAACACATCTGTCAGAATCCTTAATTATTCCTTTCTAACCAAGGGATGCATAAGGACAAGATGCACAGGATACAAAAGTGTCAAACTTCTGCATCCTATAAAAATGCCTTTCAAAAGTGAATGGAAAGTATGAACCCAAAAGAACTCACTAAAAGAAATTCTAAGGATTGTATTTTAAGAAGGAAAATGGTTCTAGGTACAAGGTATAAGGCACAAGCAGTCCAGGAGGACATGAAGAACACAGGAGCTAAGTAAACACTGCAAGCTCAAATCATCCTGTGAAATTTAAAAACAAACAGAACTACATTACACAACAAAGCACAGAGATTAGGGAGCTGCAGTGCAGTTGCTCTAAAGAACGCTGTGTGAGAAAAAGGGAAAACCATTTTTTATAGTCTAGCATGGTGACTATAACTTTTAAGGGTAATTTCTAAGAGATTACCAACATACTGTGTAACTTTACTTAGAATAGAGGAAAATCCAAATGACAACAATAATTAAAACTTGTTTGAAAAAAAAATCCAGATCTATAACGTAAAAAAATTATTCTAAGCTGGATAAACAAAAACACACAATTAAAAAATTATGTGCATTAAATAACAAAGGCTCAACTTATCCAAAGCAAAACAGAGGTTTAAAGATTGTCAGACACAAGGGATGGAGAGATGGCTCAGGGGTGAAGAGCAGTGGCTGCTCTTACAGAGGACCCAAGTTCGATTCCCAACACCCACATGGCGGCTAACAACCATCCTTAACTCCAGTTCCAGGGGATCTGTCGCCCTCTTCTGATCTCCGTGGGTACTGCATGAAACGGGTACACTCACATACATGCAGGCAATACACTCATACACATAAAATCAAATTTTTTTTTTTTAAATATCAAAAACAGAACAAAGGGGGGTGTAGACAACACTACAGTTACATTGGGCTACTGTGGAGAATTAGGTGTTTATAAACCTCAAATTTAGAAGAAGTCCATGTGTACCTATGGAAACACAACTTACTGAAATGGACTCAAGAAACAGAAAAACTTAAGAAGCTGAGAACTGTTAGAAACAGAATCGGTGCAAGGGCCGCACTGATAGCCAGGTCACCTTGGAGATCTGCTGCCCAGACTGCAAGGAAGGATGTACACAAGCCACTGAGGTTTAATGTCAAGTCTATCCACAGCCAGCTCAAGGCAGGAAGCACTGCACTACAGCACTGGGGGAAGCACACACAGATGTAAAGCCGTACCAGGCAGCAGGGGAGCAGATGGCCCCCAAGCTGGGACATGTGCACCTACCACTCCCCAGGAGCATGCTGTCAGCAGTACCCATTTCCTGCTGTGGACCATGATGCAGAACCTCCTCATAACTTGAATTATATGCTTTCAGTCCACCAACTTCTCCTTATTTTTATTGCAAATTTTTCTTAGGAACTTATAAAAGCTGCTATGACATCATCACTCCCATCAGCACAGGTCCCCACCTTCAGGGCAGTAAGGAGGGAGCAGTTCATGTACCCGTGCCTCTACGCACTCCTCCCTAGGGTTCCAACGGGCATAGGCCCAGTTCATACTTGTGTGGCCTTTCCCAGCTCTGCTCTGTTTTCCACCATAGGGAAAATGATCAGGCTGAGGGCTCCAGAGGGTTCCACAGACCTTCCTAGCCATCTAACTTCCTTTGACACTTGTTACAGTCTTTTAGACAAACTGCAGTTACTGTTATTGTTCAGAAAAGGGCTGCAGTTGATGTAGCCTACCTTCCTCTATCTCCTCTGCTTGCTAAAGCCAGGCCAACGTTTGATTCCCAGCCAGCAGAGTGTCCGCTGGGTCCACAGAACTCCTCAAACCTGCTGCACCACATCAGCTTTACAAACAAACCTTAACTCTCTCCTTCAGGGAGGGAGACACAGAGACTCATCTATGTGCACACTTTCTCAGTCACTATCCCCCTCACAGAAAGGAGCTAAATTAGAAGTGACCACTGTCACCATACACACCGACCCGACACAAGCAGCAGCCGACGCCCGCACGGGCATTCTCCACTCACCGTTCCCGTGAATAGACAGATTATGGGTCTTGAAGCAGTCATCGATGCTTTCCAGGCTCAGGGTAGTATGAGCTAGCAAACTGTACTTTACACCCCTGAAAGCAAGAAAGAAGACATGCTTTAAACACTCTTATATGTTATCATGTCTACTATGTTAAATATTCAGATGTTCAATAACAACAACTACAAATCCCAGACAATCTGACCTTAAAAAACAGGCAGAGGACTTGAACCTGGCATTTCTCCAAAGGTACACAGAAGGCCCTAAACAACATTACCAGTCACTTCTAATGTAAATCAGATCACGAAGATACCACTAACCATCACTAAAATGACTGCTCATAAGGCGAACATGGGGGTCAGGGGAGAGAAGACAGAGCACAGGGAGCACTGGAGTGAGGAAACCGGAAGCCAGGGCACTGCTGGGCCGGAGGAAGTGTGCTGCTGTGCGAAGTGTGTGGCGGCCTCTCAAACACTACACCTTAAAATCACAGTGTGATCCAACAGGCCAACTTCTGAATACACATCCCAAAGAACTGAAACCGAGAATGGGAATCACTATGTGTACACATACGTTCACAGCAGCGTTATTTACAAGAGCTGAAAAGTTGAAAACACTCAAGTGTCCATTCACGGATGAATGGATACACAAAAAGTACTGTCTGCCTGACTGCCTGCCAATCATCTACCTATCCACACACTGCAAATCATCATTCAGTCTTCACAAGGAAGAGGACTCTGACACATCCCTCGTACAGTCTGGATGAATTCTGAAGACACTGTGTTAACTGAGATATTCGAGACACTAAATGACAAATTCCATATGATTTCACTTGCAATGGGCATCTAGGAGTCAGTCATAGAACTGGAGAGCACAATGGGAATGTGAGGGACCAGGTGGGGAGAGAGGCCAGTGCTGAGGAGGTGAGAGAGGGGTCAGTGCTGAGGAGGTGGAGAGAGAGAGGTCAGTGCTGAGGAGGTGGAGAGAGGGGTCAGTGCTGAGGAGGTGGACAGAGAGGGGTCAGTGCTGAGGAGGTGGAGAGAGGGGTCAGTGCTGAGGAGGTACAGAATTTCAGTTCAAGAAGATGAGAAGGTTCTGGAGATGGATGATGGGCATACTGAACAACACAGTAAATGACCTTTATACCTCTAAACTATACTCAAAAACTATTAAAACTGACAATATTATGCCATAATAATGAAAAAATTTTAAAGTTAGTTATGTTAAGCCATGTATGATGGTGCATACCTGTAATCTCAATACCCAGGAGGCAGAGCTGAGAAGATGTAAGTGTGAGGCCAGCCAAGGCTCCACACGAGACCCTATCTCAACATCCCCCATCCCAAACTTGAACAGTAAAGATGACAGACTTACAGTCAACACAAGTGACTAGTCAATTCAGCAAGTTTATCACTTTATATTTTGGCAGTAAAATCAGTAAGCTCTTTAAACCAACACAAATGCCTCTATGAAGGATCTCCATCCGTTCTAAAACCATTTTTTTAAAAACCTACAGTGTGTCAAGTGTTGTGCTAAGTGCTGTGCATTCAACTGTAAATAAGATCTAACATTATATTCCAGGGCAGGCAGGAGGAAAAAAAAGAATAAACAGCAACAAACAGGAAGGGATAAAATACCAAAAGTTTTAAGTTGGAATTCAACTTTTTCTATGAAAGAAACAAAGAGGGTTCCCTGCAGGTAGGTAAGAGAGGGAAGCATCCAAGGGCGTGACAGTCAGTGTCATAAAGAGCTCCCATGGCTTGGGAGATGGCTCTGTAGGTAGAGTGCTTTCTAAACCTCAATCTCACATTTTATTTTTTTTAACATTTTATTTTACTTATTATTTTTATTTTATGTGTATACGTGTATTGCCTGCGTGTAGGTAAGTGCACCTGTGTCGTGCAATGCCTGCGGAAGACAGAAGAGGCTGTCTGATCCCCTGGAACTGGAGTTATGGACAGCTGTTAGCTACCATGTGAGTGCTGGGATTCGAACCCTGGTTTTCTGCAAGAACAGCCAGTGTTCTTAACCACTGAGCCATCTCTCGAGTCCCTCAACCTCACATTTTAAACAAAGAAAGGCATGAGTAAAATTTCACCTTCTCTTCTAAACAGCTGGTATGACCGCGCACCTGAACACTTTTGCAAGCGTTCACTAAGTGTCCACAAACTGCCACCATTGAACTATGCCAGTTATGAGCCACTAGGGGGTGTGGACTGGTCTCTCTTATGAGGTTACAGAGCCTTCCATGACTAGCTTTTATTTTAGGGTAGCATTTATGTGAGTTACCCAAAAGTTGAACAAGCATTTAAGAAAACTGGAGAACTAAACAAAGTAACCAAAGACCACAGTTAAATCGGAGGAGTTAATGTGACCCTGCATAGGCGGCTGCCTGTTAGTAACAATGTTGCTTGTGTGGTGTCAAGGCATAATATGCAAAGCAGCATCCCCAAATGCTCACTTGTTCTATGGAACTACATTTTCAAAAACTGTGAATGTTTAATTGATAAAGCATCACAGTTTTCCCACACGAAAGAGTAGGAAATGGATTCCTACCAGCACTTGAATGCAGAATGCACTGTCTTTCAGGAAAAGCTCACTGCCAAGGAGTGCCCACCTGGGCCCGGTACTGCTGTCCTGGCTGCTGACCTACAACACGGAGCAAGAGGGTGGGGCATGTTCTCTTACAAGGAAGGAAAAATGGAAAATAAATAATTATATCGGGTGCCTGTGGCTAAGTAAGCACGGAAGGATTAAAGTGATGAGGTTATTTCAGATGGGCCAAGTAGAGGAACCACTCCTTATAGAAGCTGTGTTTGTGCACAGACCTGAGTGGGAGCACTAGGCCACAAGCAGGGGACAAAGGCCGTCCACACAAAGGCCCATGAGTAGGGAGAGAGAGGGAGGCAGTGCAAGGCACCCAGAAGGCCCGCAGGGGTAGAACCGAGCTCAGCACTCCCCAGAGGGCAGGAGAAGCACCAGAAGCAAACGGTGCCTTTTGGGTGGAGGCAGGTGCTACGATCTGAGGTGGAGGAGAATTAAGCAATCCTGAGGTTGCCGTGTGCAACAGGGACCATCAGTGAAAACAGTAACAGCAGCCAGGACGCCACCACAACCAGCAGAGGGGGCAGGTGCATCCCTGGGCAGCACGGTGCTGAGTCCGCAGACAGAAGATGCGGAGACCTGAACATCTCCATTGGGGAGTTCCAAGTATAAATGAGATTCATGGAAAAGAAGAACACCGAATGAAAATGAACCCCAGTCATCAGACACCATTTTAGATTCGGTGGGAAAGCAAGGGGCAGAGGAGACAGGTGAGAACCGGTTTCTAAGGCAGAAGGAAAAACCAGACAGTGGCATTCTGGAAGACAAGTCAAAGGGCTGCTCCATAGAGCCCAGGCACCTGAGCACACCTGGGAGGAGGGCCAATGGACCATGGGATGTGGCAGCATGCAGATAGATGCCTGGCTGACCCCATCAGCGGGACTTCCTGTGGGCTGGCCTCGGGGGGACAGGATGCAAGTCAACTAAGATGATCAGGGAGCAAATGGGAGGAGGGGGAGGGAGGCAGGCAGGAGTAGGAAAACTACTTTATGAGACAGAGAGCTGTGGAGGGAGAAATTCAGCAGATTGATACGTTTGGGAGATGATGTAGAAGAGAGCTGACCGAGAGCAGGCACCACCAGACATCGGCCCCCCGATTGCGAGGAGGGCATTTGGTGGGCTCTAGTGCGCCAGCAGCAAACCGCAGACACATAACGCAGACACACCGAGGGAGCAGACTGGTGGACCTGGTGGACGGAGGACATCTGAGGCCATTCCTCTCCTCTGATCACTTCATGAATGTCAACAGCACAAGAAACAAAGGGGACACGGGACAAGAAAGCAAATGATGCCGGATCCCTGACAAGCGGTAAGGGGACAACCCAGGAAACTGGGAGAGCTGCCTGGTCACACCCAGAGTCCCCCAGAGGTTGGTGACCACATTTCTCTGGCAAAAGAAGAAAGAATGACTCTTTCTCCAGCCTCCGCACCTGTCCTCATGAGTGCAGTGTGAAAGTTCTAAAAAGCTACTCTTAAAAACCTTCGTGTTCTCCCAAGGCCTGTATGACAAAGCACAAGAGGTGCTGGGAAAGAATACAGTGGTGAGTTGCAGACTAAGCTAAGCTGGACCAGAGCACTGAAGAGAGGACTGGGCATGTGGGAGGTGGAGGAGGGAGAGGGACTCTGACTGCAGAGATTATCAAAGGCACACAGTCACCAGTGACAGGATCTAGGGAACAAGCACGGAGCAGACAGAGTAGATGGCAAAGTGGGTGGGAAGACAGCTGGACCAGGCCAGGAAAAAGAGCTACGGGTGTCAGACACGCAGCCTTCACATACATCAACGTCAGCAGGAAAAATACGCAGAACAGTGAGAGTGAGTGAGAGAGAGAGAGAGAGAGAGAGAGAGAGAAAGAGAGGAAAACGAGAGATGCCCAGGTTTCATTTTCAGGATAAATGCTCTACATCCTTCTCACGGACCACCAAACACATGTGAGCGAGTATCTTCATTTCAGGACTGATCATTCCCACACACAGTGAAAGACAAGCTCTGCTCACTGTACACAGAAAGAAGCATGAGACCCCTGTGCATCCATGCTCACTCGGAGCACTGGGGAGGTGGTGTGCCATGTATGTGGCAGAACAGGCTAAGTTCATGGAAAGACCATCTCACAGGTTCTAAATATTTTTCAAGCTTTAAAACATGATTATGCCTAAGAATCATTTCGTCTTAACTACTAAAAGGTAAATATGTAAGACATTAGCTTCTATTTCCTACGAAGGGCATATCTAAAAATAACAGTATGAACAAAGGCTACTGATAACCTCTTCTAAAAATGGTTAAACTAGAATATGACCAATCAATCACATGGTGAGTAAAAATGACTAGTTAGCTACAATAACTAACTTGGCAAAATAAGCCCGCTGGTGCAACAGTGGCATGAATGTTACGGGGGTGATCAAGCACTTGCTTGATCGGATTTAGGGCCTGTTTCATAAGATGGAGTTCATACTTTTAATTGGGACCAAGAACCTGTGGCTAGAAGAACA